AATTTTATTAGTATTAATTAAATTCAAAACTAGTTCTCATTAAAAGATGACCTAGTTATAAGATAAAGTATATTGTTAAGAATGCTTCTATTTATAATACTTTAATTGTTCAATAACCTGAATATATAACTTTAGAAGTCTTTCTTTTTCTATTATTTCTTAAAAGTTATTAATAAAATAATGGTTATATCAATATTTAAAAAAATTTTTTTTTTGTTTTGTAAACTCAATAATATATTGATTTTTAATTTGATTTTTTTTTATGAATTAAAATTTTTTATTTATAAATATTAATATTTGTAGTATTATTATATTAACTTTGAACTTTTTTAAAATTTAAAAAACAGGAAAATGAAAACATTCTAAAAAATATTTTTTTTATAAAATGCTGATTATATAAATAGTAATATTCTATAATAAGAATTTAAGGAATTAATTTAATTATGTAAATTTTTATTATTAAATAAATATTTTATTATATATCATCTAAAAGTTTTTGAACAAATTATAATACAAATCAAACAAATGTAACTTCTTACTTTAAGTTAAGTTCAGTATAACATGACTTCTGGATATATATAGATGCTTTGTATTTTTTTTACTTTGTATAACATAATGAGTTAATTATCACAATTTTGTAAATAAATCAAATAAAGTATAGTTACTATTCAAATATATAAGCAAAAGTCATCTTACATTAGTGGAATAATGGTATGCAAAGTGTTAGAGAAATATAACAAAAAATAGGTTTTTTGAGATCAACAATATATTACAATCTAAAAAAAATAAAAAAATATGAAAAAGGAACTTACCTGAAACAAAGTTATTAGCTGTCAAAAATAAATTCCATGATTTTAAGATTTCTTGAACAATAAATAAGAAGGAATTTTTTTATATCCTCATGATTGTTAACTGCAAAACTATTAGAAAATAATATTAAGAGGTGCATGGGACAGTTTGTAATTATTTAAAATATTATGGATATAAAAAAATAAGTAGAAGTGTTTCCTATATTAACTATGAAACAAATAAAAAATCGAGTTAAGTGGATGCAAAAACATTTTAAAGATAATTGAATACAAACTATTTTTTTAGATAAAACCTGTTTTTAAATATTTAGACATATAATTCAACACTAGTATAATATTGATAAATAAAAATTACAGTAAATTTCAAAAAATTACCAAAAAACATTTATTTAGAAAGCAATTTGAATAAGAGATAAGATAAAACTTTACTGTTTTTAGCAAATAATAAATAGTTTTTTCTATGTGTGAATTTAAAAAAATATATTTTAGAGATTAAAAAAATATTTAATAGTCACTAACAGTTCTAGTATGATAATAATTCAAAGTATTGAAGTAAGATAATAATGAAATTTCTTAAAAAAGAAACTGTTGAAATAATTGATTGGCTTTTATATAGTTCTAACTTAAATTTTATAAAAAATATACTATATATAAAGGATAATAAAGGACAATATTGAAAAGCAATGTCCATAAAATTTGAATAAATTGAATCAATTTATGAAAAAAGAATGAGATTTAATCCTTATTACTTTTATAAATAATTATATAAAATCTATGTTCGATTGTTATAAACTTATTATTGATAGAAATGAAAAATATATTCCCTATTAAAATTTTTTATGACTATTTGATTTTTTATTGATTGTCATATAGGCAATATATAAAATTGATTAAAGACTTTTTAGACAATATATATATATAATACACTTTCCTACTATAAATTATCAGAATTTATTGATAATTGTATAATGATTTTTTACATATGTTTTTAATTATAGAATCTTAACAATTTACATAATAACTTGAGTTATAATTATTTATTTATTTATTATATAGATAAAATTTATTTACTAGGGTTAATATCAAGTAGAATATTTATTGATATCAATTACTGCAAGAATATATTGGGATATACTTTTAATAGGATTTTCAATAATTGAAACATTTATTTTAAACCATTTTTCTTGCAATAAATTGAATAGCTCTGACTTGCTTGTTGGTAAAGAAACATGCTTGTGAATACAATACTTCAATTCATCCCATAAATATTCTATGGAATTGAGATCAGAACTATATGAAGATCAAGAAAGTTGGTTGATATTATTTTCTTCAAATCAATGTATAGTAAAATTTGCAGTATGAATTTTAGTATTGTTATCTTGAAATATATAATTTTTTTGTTCTACAATATTATCTTAAATTACTTAAAAAAGATAAAAAACAATTTTGAAGAACTTCTACATAATCTTTTGCATTCATTTTTCTATCAACTCGAACTAAAGGTCCAAGGCCATAATAATTAAAGCATTCTCAAATAATTATACCCTTTTTTCCTGATCTAAATATAGGAATCAAACAGTCAATATCATATTTTTCTTCTGATTGTCTCCAGACATATGTTCAACTATCCTCTGCAAACACTTCAAACCATGATTCATCACTTCAAATCATCTTATTCCATCTTTTATTCTAATCTTTTTTTTCTTGTGCCCATAGTATACAGATCACATGATTGTCTTTATTTACAAATGGTTTTCTTATACCAACCTTCATGAAGGTAACATTGCATAGTACTTGTAGATACATCAATAAATATTGATTCAATGAATTTATTTGTTAATATATTTGGTGTTGACTTTCTGTCTTGCTTTAGAAGGCGAACCAAATGATGTGTTCCACATTCAGTTATTTTGAAAGGTCATCCAGGCCAAGGGAAAGGTACTGTCTCTCCATTCTCTTTATAATAATTAACTACATCATAGACAGTGAGTGCTCTTTGGTAATTTCAAAGTTTATACTATTGCAGCCGGTTTCATGCCACACCACCAAGCACCAATTATTTCGGTGCGCTTCATCAAGTTGTTTGCGTTCCATAATTTTTTTTTAAAAAAAAATAGCATGAAAGATTTTGATTTAATCAAACTGTAAAAAAAATTTTGTACAGTAAGTAATTGGTCACATTTTAGTTAAACGTCGTGATTGTTAATCGTGTGATTTATGGTAGGGAGTGTACATCAGATTCATGTATTCCTTAATTAAAAAGATTATATTATTTAGCAATTCAAATTATTGACATTTCGTGTAAAAGATGCAGCATGATTTTTTTATTAGGTTATCTCTTGAACTTTTAATTTTTTATGTACACAAAGACCGATTATATAAGTGGAACCCCTGTCTCATGAACTTGTTTTGATCAACACATTCAGGTAGTGGCTGGATAGAGAATTTACTGTACGCGTTGGTCCCTATTTCCATTTTTATCATTTATGGCACTATCTGATAATGAAGTTTAGTGTTTAGAAATGTAGGTAAAATGTGTGGATGTGAATTAACGCGCGATACACGAAAGGTTGATTAGACAATCACGTACTGAAAGGAATATGAAATAAGTGATGGCGTCCCCTCTTATTATAAAAAAGGGGAAATCTACCATTCACTAAAGCATTGTTAAGCAGCGAATCCCTCCCTACTATATGCTAGCACTTGGGGAGAGCAATAGTTTCAGGCAGTTGCTATAATGTTTAACTTCGATCAAGATTAGTCGATTCGGAAAACCGGTGTTCTTTAAGGTTTAAGGAAGACGATGACGCGATAAATCATTGTGATTGGAAGGTAACAGTATGGCGTTCCCTCTTTCCAAATCCGATGGATATCTATTCTGGGGGCCTTCACATTGCGGCAAATCTCTCACCGCCTCTTAAACTTATTGATTCGTTCTTTTTGTCAAACGTTCGTTAATGCTCAATCAGATCGATTGCCCAACAACTATTCCTGTATGAAAGTGGTACAGTACCTCAAATCCCGACAAAATCTTTGAATGCTTAAATCACAAAGCATACTACCATCCATCATATTCACTCTTAAGAAATTATCAAAGTCTTTGTCGCTTGAAATAATGAAAACTTCAGGAAGATTATGATGTTTCGGGGAACACGAACTGGGCTAGAAGAGGTTGTAGGTAGGTTAGCAGGAATCTTTGGAGGATGAACTACCGAACTTAACACTCGTTTTTTTTTCCTCAACAAGATGTTTTAGGAGAATCTTTTCTGAAAAAGTTGGCATTCTGAACAATACAGATTATTAATGGTGTGGTGCCATTAATTAATACTGCAAATTAATCCAATAATAATATCTTCAATGTACTTTCATATACAGTATTAATTACCTTTTTCAATGATTATCAACAAATAAGCCCTTCATTAAGAATTTTATTCGTAACTTCCTTTAAAATATGAACAAGTTATCAATTCTCCTGACACCATAAGCATGTCTTCCAGTTGAGGTAAAGGGAAGATCGTAAATATTTCTTCTTTGGACTTCTGCCTTAATGTCTTCGCAAGATTCCTTTGATCGATAGGTCTTAGCCACCGGCCTAGTTTCGTTCTCGTTCAGATTGCTCTGATGAGCCCCGGTAAGTGGTAGAGCTACCATTTTTCACAGCCTTGATGATCTCTGCTTTTCTTGGCAGGGTTGATGCAAATAATTGTGATAAGCCTATCGCTTCCGTGGCTTGAAACGAGACATGATGCGACCGGTATAGAATTTCTTTCACAGGGATACTTCATTTCATCAAGCTTTATTGCGAGTTACCGTACCCAGTGTGTTTCTGTTTTATATATTGTTTTTCGATGTGACTTTCCGCCCCACCCCACTAGGTGAATGTGAGGCTGCACCGAGGAACTTCCAAGCCAAGGATTAATGATATGTGCGGTAAATAATGTGTACGCATGTAATTTATCATTTTCCGATAGTGGCATCGACTTTGAATCCATTTAACTATGATCTAGTTACGTGTGTTTAAACATCAGTTCATTAAAATCGATAAGGGTAAATAATCTGCTGGCATAATTCAAAGTTAACCAGTATAAATAGCGAAGGATTTTCTGCTTTGCTTTATTTCCTTTTCGAAAATAAACAAGAAAAAAAACTGTTTCCTGTAAAAGATACGGTGAATTCAAAATTTAGTATTTAATGACGGATGAAACAACTGATCGCCTTTTGACCGACGTCAAAAGAAGCTATGAATTATTGGAAGAAAACACCTCCGTGCGCTCAATTCCAGAATTCCTTGCACATCTAGGAAGCGAATTCATGCCATGCCATGACAAGCTAACGGTACATCCAATGATAATCACAATACTTGAGAATCCCGTGCATGTAGAAAATGAGGACAAATGTGACTTGAGTGATGAGGAAGATTTCGATGGAGAGAAAGTGGAGGATTTTCACCACCATGAAAAAGTTAGGGAACGTGGATCGAAGAAATTAATGATCGCCATTGGAATATCATCGCTTTTCTTTGTCACCGAACTTATTGGCGGGCTGATCTCCGGAAGTTTGGCGCTACTGAGTGATTCATTCCATTTATTGAGCGGTGAGTTTTTTTAACAGACGTGTGCTTAGCACGATTTATAGGCGATGACTAATTTATTTTCACAGATCTAGTCAGCTTTATGATTTCGCTTTTATCCATATACCTCTCTCATCGACCCGCATCGAAATGTAAGCATCCCGTTGAGAACTTTCGTATTGTTATGATGTTCAATGGTCTAATCGACGTTTCACTTTTACATGGACAGCACATACGTATGGATACTGTCGAGCCGAAATATTAGGGGCACTTTTATCAATTTTCCTCATATGGCTTCTCACATCCTACCTATGTTTGGAGGCATACGATCGAATACGCCATCCGAAGGAAGTGGATGGAAAAACCATGTTTATTATTGCTTGCATAGGAGTTTTTGTAAATGTGTTGTATGTCATTTGTTTTCCTCCAAATGTTCACGGAACGGGCGACATCAATTGTAGACGAAGATCAGATTCACCAGACTCTTACATTTTTCTTTTTTTAATCATCAGATTGATATTTGTGCTAGGCCACAAACATCACCATCATCACAATCGCGTCAAAGGCAGTTGTCAAAATCAAGATAATGTTACCGTTCGAGCGGCTTTATTGCACGCGTTGGGTGATTTACTTTCGTCACTGGGAGTCTTGATTTCGTCAATTGTTATTATTTATGATCCAAGTAAGATGTGGGTGGATCCACTGTGCACGTTTCTCTTTTCGGCGCTGGTGATGGCAACCACCTTTGGAATATTGAGGAGTAGCGTAAGGGTTCTGATGGAAGGTTCGCGTTTAAATTACACCACTTTGTTATAGTACTAGTAAAACATTTTTCTTGGTTGACGTACGGGCTTTTCCCTTTTTCTAATCTGAGAATGTGTTTACAGCGACGCCATTTCACATCGACCCGCAGGCAGTGGAATCGGATCTGAAGGCCATAGAAGGTGTAAAGAGTGCACACGATCTGCATAGTAGGTTAATTTTGATTTTACTTCGTGCGTGAGACAAAAGACAACGGAACCTAACTGAAAATTCTATATTATTGTAGTTTGGGATTTAACTGTTGGCAAAGTAATACGGGTTTATCCTTTCATAATATATTCGAACTTGCGGACTTTTTTCTCTTAACTTTGACAAAAAAAAAAAATTTTTTTTTCCTGTCATCTTTGCTTCAAACAGACCGTGCTTATGGCTCACCTAAAACTCCAAATGTATAATCCCGCACAACATTCCGAACCATTCACATCATGCTCA